TCAGCTATTCTTAATTCTACTATATAATCAACAATTTCTTCTTTTATAATACAATTGACTGGGTCTATTCCTTGTTGAATTGTTTCGAAAAATGTCTCTTGTTCTCTTTTTATAAATACAAGTTCTGTATACTTTTTTTTCCCTATATTATAGTACCATAATTCTTCATAGAGCTTTATTATTAGCTCGTTGGCTACTTCTTTCAGAATAAGCTTTTGCCTAGCATACTCTGCCATTATTTTTTCTACTTCTGTATTTATTATTTCATCAGATATTGCTATTTTTAAGCCCTGGATATCTGCTATTACCTCTTTCATACCTTCTGATGTATCAGAGTTAATGTAACCTTGTCTATATATTTCTATATCTTTGCATAATTCTTTAAATTTTATCTTTGCTAATTCGGCTATGACAGGTTTTTTCAGAGCTTTTTGTTGTTGTCTTGCTTCACATGACTTGTTGTTTTCCGACTACTATTGTTTGTTGTTGTTTGCTGTGGTTGTTTATCATTTTTGTTTACTTTTGTCACATAGTTTTTGTTGTGTTTCTTTTGTTTATTTTCTATTATATATTGTGATTTTTGTGTTACTAAAACAGATCTGCAATTCAGGGTCAAGGCCGATTTCCCCAAAGTTCGCAAAGTGCAAAAAAATATTGACTATTTTTCACAACTTCTTCTATTTCTTTGCCACTTCTGTTTTTCTTACTCAAGTTTTTTAAGAGACTGAGTATTTCTTGTTGTCCTCTTTCTCTTTACTTAGGAGCCTAAGAGTAGTTTCTTAGTGACTTTTATATGTTTTTAAGTTTTTATCAATTTTTTGTTTTTTTGAAATTCTGTGTTTTGATGATTAGCAAAAAGAGTTAAATAGTTTTTGTCAAAGAAAGACTTACTTAGTAAAAAAAGAAGTTTACATAATACTCTTTGTGAAAATCTTTTGTTATTTCTACTACTATTAAAATTCTATATGTAATACTGCCGATTTTTACTATGATGCTTATATGAGGTATCTTCAATTAAAAGAGCCCATTTTTACAATTTTTCAAAAAATAAGTTTTTGTTAGATTCATATAAAATTTGACATGATTGATATTTTTTAATTATAAATGAAAGTCGATTTTCTTAATAAAAAATAGAGATAATGTAAAATAAAGATTACACAAGGCTGTCTAAAGCCAAGCATATCACGAGATTACCCAATAGTCACCTGTTACCGTTAAGCAATCAAAATTGTGAAATTTGATTAATCCCGGATTAGTCCGAAAATCAAAACAAATGTTTAAACTCAATTATCTCGAAATAAGATAAATGTAAAATAGGCCCTTTTAATTGAAGACACCCCATATAATGCTTATACTTTTTAATAGTGAATCACTTCTTAATATTTTAATTATGTTATATTTAATAGACAATCCATCTGTCATCTGGAGAAGATCTGCAAATTTTATAAGTAAATTTTACTATTGAGCTAAATGTAGAGAAATTATATCCAAAACTTTTTCTTACTAAGTAAATTACTCTTGAGCTTATAACAAAAGTTGTAGAGCTCATCAAGATGTATCTAATGGTGGTAAGAATATTAAAATCAGCCTGGTGGTTCTTGAGAAATCTTTGAAAAACATTTTGCCAACATATAAAATTTTCTAAAAAAATTTTATATGTTGGTGAAATGTTTTTCAAAGATTTCTCAAGAACCACCAGGCTGATTTTAATATTCTTACCACCATTAGATATATCTTGATGAGCTCTACAACTTTTGTTATAAGTTCAAGAGTGATTTACTTAGTAAGAAAAAAAGTTTTAGATATAATCTCTCTACATTTACATATTGAAGAATTTATATATAATTTATATATAAATCTTGTATAATCTGTATCACATAACTCTCCAGATGACTGGCAAATTATCTATTAAAAATTGCTAATTTTAATAAAATATCTTATCTAATATTTAAATTTTTGCTAATAGCTATTAATTAAAAAGTGCTAATAAAAAAAATTTTTTTATATAATACTCAAAATATAATCTTATAAATTATTTGAGGTTCTATATATATTAAAAAAAACAGCAAGTCAAATTGGTTTTAACAGTTCTAAAAATCATTTCTGAATTGATTTGCAAAGAAAATTTCTAAATTTCTAAATATCATTATTATTTATTATTATACAATTAAGTTTTATTTTAATAAAATTAATTGCAAATCATGTTTGTGAAAGTGTTGAGTACTGTAAACCAGATAGTTTTTTGAAACAACTTCATAAAGATACAATAATTTAACTAACTTAGCTACTTTTTTTATTTATCTGATGATAATTCTTTTCTTTAAACTTCTTAGTGAATTATTATCATTTGCTTTAGCTAAAAATAATTTATATCTATACATTGCTGTGTTAAACATTTTAATAAATAAAATATTGAATTCCATCTTGTTAAAACATCACAAATTACAAAAAGAATATTATCCCAATCTTCTATTTCCATTTGAGCTTCTAAAAAAATTGCTTTTGCTTTGGACTTCTACTAAAATATGATACAACATCTTTATATTTTTTATTAAATTAGTAATTTCTAAACACTCTTTTAATATATCATTAATTGTGAGTTGTAATGTATGACCAAAGCAATAAACTTTAAAAATGCTATATTTTCTCTCTAATTTTTCTAAATATGATTTAATATTTGCCCTAATATTAACTATACTACTAACAGCTATATGGTTAAGTTGAAAATTATCTAAAATTTTAATGATTTTATTAAAAAGACAATTCAAAGTATGGGGATATAGAAGACACAAAATATTACCAATTATTTTTTTATTTCAAAGTTATTATTAATCTAGTAAAAAGTAAGCCTAATATATGGATCACTGTTATTTGATGTTCACATATTAGTAGTAAATGAAATATAACTAATTTCTGTACAAGCAAGTGTATATTTAAGAAGATTTTATAAAATTCTATCTTAGAATTAATAAGAATTTCCTTTAAACAACTATTACTAAGTATATTGGCCTAAATATTGAGTTTTTCAATTATTCTTTTAAATATCTGTGATTGAATAATTGAAAATAGTTGAAGCTCTTTAATAATAAAAGTAGCTATATTATTATCAAGAGTTTTTTGTTTAGAGTTATTAAGTGCATATTTTTTTATTTTGTTATATGTTTGTATTATTGTTAGCTAAGTGAATTTTGGCATAACAGAAAATTTATATTTATTATTATCATTAATTACAACTTTTACTTGATCCTCTTCTACTATGGCTCATGAAATATGATGTCTATTTCTCAAATATTACCATAAATTTGAGGTAGATCTATCCTTTACATATTTTATCCATGGATTACAAGTTTTATAACAGCAGACCCAAAACTCAGAATTTTGAATTGATGTTGTTTCATAAAATATTTTAATAGGATTACCACCTGTTTTTTCATTTTTTTTGTTTTTTAGTTAAAGATTGATTACCAGTTTGTGTAAAGACTTAAGTAAATCTTTATTGTTTATATTACTATCTGTATTATTAGATTCTAACTCATCTAAATCGATATCTTCAGGCTCTTCATTATTAGATTCTAAAATATTATTATGCTCTAATATATAATCAGCCTCCAATATATTATTTGGCTCTAGTATATTTTTAGGCTCCAATATCATATCTTCCAAATATTTATTATTTATTATTTGTCTTTAACAGTAAGCAATTTATTTGCTTTATATTGATAGTAGGTTTAGTGGCTATTGTTTTTAAGATTATAGGGGTTGTTGTTTTTTAAGATTATAGGAGTTGTTATTTTTTAAGGTTATAGGATATGACTTGTAATTTCAACTGAATAACTTGGCTTTTTATAATAATAGTATGAATTTTAATAATACTGCAAGTGATCTAAAAAGATTTAATAATAAAATTTTTGCACATATAGTATTAGAAACTTTGAAATGCTTACTAATTTGATTTTATATATATACTTATAGTGTAAGAAATCTAAAACTATTATTCTTCTCCTATACAAATCTTGCAGAAGTGATGCTTTTAAAAATTTTTATAAAATTATCAGACGTAGCTGATACTAGATTATGTACCAATAGTTTTATCATGCTTTTCAATTTACTGTGATCATCAGATTTCTAACATCATACATTACTGGAAATCTGGAAATTTGGAAATCAGGAATCCAAAATATAATCTATAAATATAAAAAAAATTCTAAAACTAGAAAAATTTTTTTTCATATTAATCAAATGTTTTATAGCAGACGCATTAAACACAAAACTCAAATACCATCATGAAACCTGCTTTGGATGCAGAAAATATTTGTACTGTGCAGCAGATCTGTGCCAAATTATTTGCAGTTATAAAAATTAGTGTCAACAAAAAAAAACAGAACTATTTATATCAAACAAGTGTATACATGTCAATATCAACTTACTTGGGCAGCTCCAAAATTTGAATACATTCATAAAAAAGTTTTAGAATATAATTATCAAATAAATTTAAAAAAATCTTTCAAGTTTTCTCTTTGTGATCGGTGCTACAATATTTTGCTCAAACTGAATTCTGAAAAAACTGAAAAAAATTTAACAAATAAAGCAATAGTTAATACAATGAATGTGATAACAGATAAAGCAATAGATGTGGTAATGAATAATGCAAGAAATGAATTGATAGATATAGTAACTGATATAGCAACAGATATAGTAATAGATACAGCAATGAATATTATAACTAGAACTAATATAATTTATTGTTATTATTTGTTTTTATAAGTTTATTTAGATATATTGTATTTTTTTTTTAGAGAACCCGATCACCTTCTCTTTCAATATCTGTTATAACTACTAAAGACAAAATAAGCAGTGATAATAATACTAAACTTGAAATATGTTACAAGTTAAATATTAAAACTGCTGAAAGAACTTTGTTACTAGCTAAATGGTTTTAGAAATTTGTATTAATTGTAGATGAATTTTTGTTATCAATTTATAATAAAATTATTATGCTAATGAAAGATAATAGTCTCTTACCAACCGATTTATTTAAGACACAGAAAGAAACTGGTACTAGTACCCAATTATCTGATGCTCAAGATTTTATAAAATTTAAAGCTAAATATCTAAAGGTAGCTGCAAAAAGTGTTGATATGGGAGTTCATGTGACAATCATGCAGATGTCTCAGATTAAAGAAAAAAAGTATCTGAATTACTAAATATATATATATATTAACAATTTATATTAGTTAATAGAATTACAAAATTGTTTAGAGTACAAAACTGAACAATAATGATAACAATAATAAAGAATCTATAGATAATTACAAAAATAGCAATAAAATTTCAAAAACATCATCTTTATCATTACAAGATCAAGCAATTGCTACGAATGTTTTGAAATTCAAAAGGAATATTATTGTAATATACACAATCAGCCTTGTCTAAATAAGAAAAGTAATAAAGATCTATATGTAAAAATTACATTTATGATATTTACAATATGGGCATCAGATATAGTAAGTTTTATAATAATTGCATATTCATAAAATATTCAATTGACTTTTAGCAAATTCTGTGTTGCTATAGTGTGTTAACTATACTCATTATAAATTGTAATATTTATCATTATCTGTTATATAATAATATTTATTATATTTAAATTTAGAATAATGAATTAAGTATGATTAAAGATCCTCCAACACATCCTCTCTTTTCTCATAACAGAATATTATCCAAAAAAAATATTTATCTATATCACCACTACCACAAAAATCTTTGTTACCACAAAAACCTTTGTCATTACAAACATCTTTTTTGTTGCAACAAGCATTTTTGTTGCTCCAAGTACCATCAGTTCCATTATCGCAAGTAGAGTTCCTCAAAATCGAATCAAATCAAATCAAATATTAATTAAATAGAATAAATTCTTAATTTGAATTTGATTTGATCGAATTGAATTAAATCAAATCAAATAATATTTGAATATTATTAAAAATTTTTAAATTTTGTCACTTTTCAGAAATCTCAATTTACGCAAAATTTTACTAAGCTAATCGATTTTGTATATTAAGTAAAAAATGTTCTTCTAATCAAAATACCTCTAGTCAGTTAGAATGCAAATAGTAATTATCTTAATAAATTTTGCGTAAATCACTATTGAATTTATAGTTTCAATTCAAATCAATTCAAATATTCAAATATTTGTCAAATCAAATCGAATATTTTGTCAATTTGATTTGATCGAATCAAATAAATCCATGATTTGAATTTGATTTGATTTGAATATTTGATTGAATCAAATCAAATCAAATTGCAGAACCCTAATCGCAAGTAACAAGTAATTAAACCTTTGGTCCTTCAGTGTTTCAGCTATTTTTGCTACCATTTAATACTTATCACATACTATCATTGATGCTATTCAACTTGTACCATATATCAACACTACAATTTATTTTATCTCTATTTCAAGCTAGTCAATATAAATCAAACACATTACCAACAATGGCTGATTTTCTAAAAGAGATAGATAAAAGAGAAGGAACAGATCATTATTATTAGAATTTTTTGAATGAATTCAAATCGCAACAAATTTCGGTATAAAGTATTTAAGTAAATTATCAGACAAAGAGCTTGAGCAATGCGGAGTAAATACAATTAGTGCTCAAAGAACCTTGCACAATTATGCAGAAAATGTTTTTTAATTTTGCTTATTAAATATATTATAATTAGTATAGCTGCTTAAGGATTTGTTTTGTTGAAATAGTAAAATTATAAAACTATAATTTCTATAATAATTGTCTAAATAAATGATATTGTTTTATTGAAAAACTTTGTTATAACATATTTTATTTCTTTAGGTTTCTTGTTTTAATATATTGTCTTTTTAAAAAATCAACATGATACTTTTAATCTATTATCTGATTCATAAAAATAGAAATTAATTTTGTTTGATATAAAAATAATGCATAAAAAGCTCCAACAGGTTCTAAGAGAATGTAATAATATAAAAACATAGGATATTTTCTGTCTTGAAACCTGTTTATATAATTATTAATACAATCAAAGTTTTTTAAAATAGGCAAGGTTGGGCAACATAACTAGCCTTTATTATACAAGTAATAGTAAATAAAACTGTACAAAAACAATTATTAAATATTCCTTATCCCTCCTGTCTATTATTTTCCCTTATATTAACAACCAATATGTATTATAATGGTATATTTATTGATTACTTAAATATGATTGTGATCAAAAGTTAAAAATTATATCTCAATGATATTACCCAAACCCAGTAATTTGGAACTTAGTAGAATTCTATTATTTTCAACAATTGTGTCGTAATCACATTATAACTCAAACTTATACATTACTTGACTAGAGTATTAGTGATGTTACCCAAATCAGATTCTCAAATTGTATCAAATCTAAAACTTTTTTGAGATGATTATCTGAAACTTTCTGTTTGTATAATTAAGAGATTAGAAATAGAGTATCCAGACTTATATGATTTTAGAGATTTTTCATTGTTTGCACAATTAAAAATCTTTAAAATCACATAAACCTGAACACTCTAATTGAAAAGACATTCATGCAATGTCTGTTATTGTTAGTAATTCCTTTGTACCATCAACTGCATCATATTGATCCTTAAAGTTTGAGATATGCAACAAGGAAAAGAAATAGACACAGATTTGGGTAACTCACTATCTAAATATTATTATTTCAATTTGAGATCTTGGTATATAACAGCAACATAAGTAAATTTACTTTATATATAATATATAAAATAAAAAACTTACTATATAATTTTATTTTGCTATTGTTCATAACCGGTTTACTAATATTCTAACAAATTCAATTTCAAATAATCATATGCGACTTATATGCAATATGAATTAACTCTTAAAATACTTGCATTTGACAAGAAACTTATAAAAATTATTGTAAAAAAATCTATAAAATGTTAGATAATTTTGTACTAATTTGCAATTCAAATTCTAATATCACAATTATCTAAATAAAAAAACTTGCTAGATCTGTATAACTACATTGTATAAATTCAGATTCTTTTTTTATGTTTTATTTTTTATTTATATCCAAAAGTTTCATAAAATTTTTTTGCCATTTCTGGTAAAACTTGTACGCATACCACAAATAAAGATATATTGGATCATGTGAATTCTCAACAAAGTACTAATATCATTACAAATAATTCTTAATTACAGAAAATGCTGTCTCAATTGAATTGAGATCAGGTAAATATAAAGGAAAAAACACTACATGTACTCCAAATATATCTAAATATTCTAGTGACCCATTATCATGATGAATATGTGTATTATTCAAGACTAAAATGCTATTAGAATGTGGGTAGAAATTCGTCTGTAGCAACTATAATAAAAAAAATTAACAAATTAATGTTAGAAAATTGATCTATAAGGATAAAATCTGCTTTTATATATAACTAAACATGGATTTGATCTATATGCCAAATTTTACTAGCTCACAACTTGGGTTTACTCTATTCTATTCTAATTAGTTTATACATACAACTTATTAATTATAAAATCTTTAAATTTAGACTTTGTATGAGTTCCTTCTACTATATTAACAATGATTATTTCTTGTAATATTAAAGCAGGGCAAATTGAGTATCGTGTTCTATGTACAAATACAACTTTTTTTGCTGCCTGGATATTAATTTGTAAATATCCATAATCTCATGTTATATATTATTCAACCTTTGCAGCTTCGTCTGTAAACACTAGATATTCTGGCTAATAGTATATTCTAATATGTGCTATAAAGATGTTTCATATAAGATCATTTCTTTATTTTGTTTCTTTAAGAAGCTAAATTAAAATAATAGTATAATTGTTAGAAGTTATAAGTATTTTACTAATAAAACAAGATAACTTAACTTTTTTCAGGTAATCCTACAGTATACTAAGGACCTTCATTATGTCAGAATTAAAATCATCTTTTTAGTATGCTATTCTATTTTAGAAACAAGCTCATATAAAAACTAATCGACCTTTTTTTTGACAATTTCTTGTAATATCTAATTGTTATGAGAATTATTTGAATTATTATTAGCATTAGATAGTATAAAATAAAATTATACATATACATATATATTCATATCATTTCTGTTAAATGTTTTTTGTAATCTAGAAACTTTGCGCTATGGATAAGTTACTGTGTCCTATTTTTTATAAATTCTTAAAACTTTGTTCACTAATGATTTACTAATATATAAAACAGTAGTGATTTCATTTTTTGAATAATGATTATAATACAAATAGATGATATATTACTTAAGATCCTCACTATAAAGATGCGATATCTAAAAATATTTTAAGATTTTTATTAGAAATTTTATTTTGTACTAATTTATAGCAATTAAACATTTGCAGTTTCAAAAATGTTTTCTTATAATTAGATTTCTTATAATTAAAAAAAAAAAAAAAAGATTTTTTTGTAATTCTAAAGTACATGTCACAAAACAAATAAAAACAATTGCTTAATATATTCCAATATAAAAAAATATCATTAAGTCAAATATTATTATAATACAATAAAGAAAATTGTTGATATAAAGAATATTGTTATGGTCAAATGTTGTTATAACCAAATATCATTATAACTAGAGTGACATATTTCAGTATTTAGTAAAAAGATGATTTAGTATAATTTATAGTTTCAATTTTGATTCAAAAAAAAGCCTAAACTTCCCATTATAATTCAGCCATACAAACATATAGCTTTTGTGTATTACTAGATATAGTGTTAAAAAAATGAAAATAGAAGAGGAAGTTTGGGAATTTTTATTTGTTAGATTTGTTCACAAAAAAAGCCTTAAATTTAGGAATTTTTGAAGATTTCCATGTAATGGTCGATCATTTAATGATCACAGTAAATTGAAAAGTGTGATAACTAAAATAAATCTTTGAAAATTTACTTAAAATTAACAAAAAACAAAATTTACCAATAAAATATTGCATTCTGATATCAAAAATATTATGATTGTCAACGATTTAAGTTCAAATTGTTCTTTTAAGTATTTTATTATTAGAGACCCAGAAAAATTTGAACTTTATTGATGCAAATTCCAAATGTTCTAAATTTTATGAGTTTCTGATTATAAATAATATGCTTCTAGGCATATTATTTTTATTTAAAAAGATCTAATTGTTTTAAGAATCATTATATCAACATTGTATAATGATTACACCAACTTTAACATTAAAAAACTTGATGATTTTCTATATAACTCGTTGACCCAGATTATAACCTGGATGACTATTTAACCCATCTGGGTCACTATTTTCTGATCCAGATCATAGCTCTACCCATCACTAAATATACCCAGTATACTATAATCCCCTAAAATATCTCTTGTTTATTTATTTATTTTATTTTTATTTTTTTTGAAAAATTTATATAAATAAAATAGAAATATTATTATAGTACTATAGCACCGTAGTGCTACCTTATATGGGGTCATCTAAAGCCATGTACCCACATGACTTTTTTGTATAAATCAATCAACCTATATGGGTGAATCAGACTCATTTGGTGTGATATAAGAATGTGATATTTGCATGGTTATACTAATCCGATGATCATACATAATGTCTTTGTCCAAACCTTTTTTATGTCTTTTGTACTCTAAAACCTATTTGACAAAAAATTTTTTATTGTCTCACAAAGCAAGGAAGCATCCACATAACCGTATTGTACCTCATGGTACTTGTTTTGAACTTTCTTCAAGCTGAATTCCAGTCTATCTTTCTTGCGAATGTAAAGTCTTGTCTTCATACTCACCGCTCAGCACAAGGCTCCAAACAATTCACTGTGTACTGCCCTAAAAACCTTTTTTATTATATATTTTACCAAGAACCAGGGTTTGAATACCAGGTAGCCTAACGAAAGTATAAATGCACATATAAAGAACAAGATGGGTACCAAAAAATTGGGTATATCTTTGCACATCCTGCTTGGGGTGAAAAAACAACAAAGACAGGAAGTGAGGTTAGAGTAATTACCGAAAAAAAGAATCTTGAAATACAACAAATGCTTAAAACTGAGCTTGTTTTTCTTTGGAAAGAGCAAACGACTAATGAAGAATATAATGAGGAAGTTTATACTTGGACATATTGGGTTTTAAAATTTATATTTGAAATATATAAATGCAATGTAGTTGTGATTTAGATTTTATTATTTAAGATTTATAATCTTTTTAGTATAAGATAAAGATAGTTCATTGATATAATAATAAAGTTGTCTATTTTCATAAGAACACATAACGTAGATTACAGATTTTAAAGAATTGCCGCCACCTATTGTAGTACCTCTATAAAATAATTGAACATTGGTGTGATTTTTTTTTTCAATACTTGAATATGAAAACCATCGTAGATATAGATTCTTTGTTTTGAGAAACTTCATAAATTTCAGAATATGATATGCAAGCATATGCATATAGGGGGTAACATTATCACGTTGATAGAGTCCTTTTTTTAGAAGTTTTTCTTCTTTGTTTTCAATTGTTAGTTGACAAAATTTTCTAATCTATTGTCATGCTAAAAGCTCAAAATTAATAATGTCCTTATCTGTTAAATCAGCTTTACACATTGTTTTATATAAAAAAAAAATCATGCCAGAGTTTTTGTATTTCTTTTCCTTGTTCACCTAAAATAAATGAAGTTACAGGAAATTTTTTTAGGATTATTAATATCCGATCCCATTAGCGATGTCTAATGCCATTTTGCTTTTGGTGTTTCAGATTCTCTGAACTTAAAAATATTGACACCTAGAGAATGAATAGTGGATTCTATTTATTCATGAATTGTTATTTCATTGTTTTTTTTTATTAAATGTTGATTTAATTGATAATTCAAAAAAAAGATATTTAAATAAAACATCAGTAATGCAAAGCATTACATGTAATTTATCTGATATACTATGTTGTTGTTCTATAAAAGATAAAAGATTTGAATTCTTTCATCCCCGAGTATTACATGAATTTTTATAATCTTTATCTATATTCTAATGGTCTGTGCTTTTGCAATCGCAATATAAACAAAAATAATCTGCCATTGGTCCTTTAGTACCAGGAGTTAAGGACATAAATTTCCAATCAGAACTGAACCAAAATTCGATTTTTCAATGATTGTTATTTGAGTCAACAATTTCTTCTCTATTTAAAGTTTCTAACTCGTAAATTAAAAAACTAAAAGCTTTTTGAAGTGACTCATATTGTTCTGTACTATTATAAAGAAAGATACAATGTTGATTGGATGGGTTTAAAACCATATCATATTCATTTAATATACACGCAATTAGCATTACTTGATTATGGTGTTTTCCGACTTGTCACCCATCTCCATTTAATTTAATATAAATAACATCTCCTACTTGTAACACTGCTGATTTTTCATCTGTTAATTTATAAATTATAACAAATAAAATATTCCTAAGTGATCTATAAGCTCCATTCGAAGTTACAGAATTAACTTGAATTATGTGAATTGGAATCATCTGATTCATAATTCTTGTTATCTCTTGTTGACATTTTTCAATTTTATATTCATATGCTATTTCTGGCATGATAGCTGCAAGCTGATGATATGCATCACGAGAAATTAATGACTTGTCGCAGGCACAAGCAATCGAATCTAAAAATTGATCTGATTGAGAATTTTCAGAGTTTAAGTTTTGAAAATTAACATGTAAATCATTTATATTTAATTCAATAGATTTTAATATAGTATTGTGAAAGTTATATAATTGAACTGCAGACTCAATTCCATCATGAATATTATAAGCCAAGGTTTTGAGATGCTTATTTTTTTGTGATTCAAATTGAAGTTCGTGAAATGGTTTTTTTCATGATTGAGTTTTAAAAAATGTTTGATCCTGGTTTCGATGTCTTTCTAAACATTCTAAATCGAATACAAAAAATATAATCTCTGAAAATTGTAAATTACTATGACTCTTTAGCTTCTATATATTTTATAAAATATACAATACATATAAGTATAATAAATATCATATATAACAATTTATTAATTCATTATACATTAATATAATATTTATTAATCGCAACTTGCAAAAATAAAACTGAAACATTACTAGCTAATTTATTACTTGAAATTGACTGTTGTTTTCCATCATAACTATTCTAAGTAATTGTATATATAACCTCTCCACAAGAATTATACTGAGTTTTAACAATCAAATCCATACCATAAGCCTCTACACGAACTATATACCCATTAGAAATTGGATAGCCACTTTGTTGAGTTCACTTTACTTGTTGTGGATAAAAACCAAGTTGTAAAATTTTGTAAAGATATTGTTTTTTTTTTTATTTCCAATAAGTCGAGTTACACATATGCTTGGATAGTTATCAACGATTTCCAGACTACTAGTTTGTATATTGTCTTACTGGCAAACCTCTTGAAGAGGATAACGAGTAAAATGAGAACCTTGAGTTTTTTTTTAAATGTAATTTAGCCTTTTTTTTTTTTAGTTTATTTAAAAAAGGTATTTTTTTTTTAAAAAAAAAAAAAATATTCAAAGTACACAGTTCAAACAAAGCTAAAAAATAAAAATTTTATATCAAAATAAGAGTTAGAACATTATATATATATACGAATACACATAACTGCAAACAATAAAATAATAGTTATTAAGCCCCTGCAGATGTTGCTTTAACACCTACCTATGCCCAATGTCAGCAAAAACTCATTACCAACTCATTACCAACTCATTGCCAACTCATTGCCAACCTGTTTTTCAAGTTTTCTGATAGGCTAGGAGAAACGATATTTTTTCTAGAAAGAACGATTGTTTGGATATTTTTATATATGTCAAAATCTTAGTTATCACATCAATAGATCTGATTGGTACAGCTTGTTGAAAATCCCTCTCAAATGTCACTCAAATGAGCCCGATCAGCCCATATGCGGAATTGCAAAATTTTGTTTACACAGATCAGTCCGAAGAAGTCAAAAAAATAAAGAAAATGCAAAAAGATGAAAAATGATAGTCTTAACCTATCTTGGGGCACTAATTAAAAATGCCGGGAAGGCAATTTTACTTATACTCCCTTTTCTTATATTAACACCCAACTAACCCTAATCCTAACCTTAATTTTAATTTAAACGATTAAACGTTAAAATCACATGGGTACATGGCTTTAGCCATCCCCTTATATGTAAATATAAAATTGGTGTAACCAAAACAATCTAATCTTTACAAAAAATAAAACTTTTAATTAGATTTAGATTAAAGCTGGGGTTAAGGTTAGACAAATCATAGTTTAAACTATAATTTTGCAAAGAATTTTTTTTATTTGAACACAAGATGGTTTTTTAATCAAAATTTTGAGATAAACAATTTTTTAAAAATTCATTATTTTTGTTACACAAAGGGTGATCTGCATGTTACACCTGATTTTAAATTTTAATTGGTCACAACACCCTAACACCATCATGCTATAGCACAATAAATTAAATCCCAAATAAAATTAAATGTTTTTCTATCGTTAAGGGTGTTTCATGACCTCTATAAATGCACTTTTAATTGT